AGAGCGGGGCTGGCTCTGCGCGCTGCGGGATGCTGAGGGGCGCCAAGCCCCCGGCTCACAAAGGATGGAGGCAAGGAAAACAAAGACGGCAGAGGAACGAGCGGCGCGCGACGCTACGGGGCCCAGGGGCGCACCCGAGAGCCCCAAGGTCCTGCCGCGCGAGGAGGCCAGGCTGTCGCGATACCGGAGAGAGTAAACCTAGTCCCAATGGATGGCACGAAACGCTGCTGAGCTCTCAGAAGAAACGCCTGGGCTGAGAGCAACACACACACACACAGGCCTTGGACAACAGTCCTGTCCCACAAGGGTTTTTGGCACAGAGGACATCGGGAATAAGGACAGGGACTTGGGAGCAGTGACCCTAACCAAAGCCCAGTAAGCCAACAGGGCAAAGGACTCCAGTTAGGCACAACCGTCACGTCAGTGTTACCGCAGGGGGGAAAAGAAACCCACATGCAACTAAGTCAACCTCTGGGCGATCGCCCAGGCCACGCGAGGGCTATGTACAAACCCCCGCCGCAGCTCGGGAGCACTCCTCCCGCGGAGAGGAAAGGGCTGCTCCACTGCTCCGGCCACCTCGCTGGCCACCGGGGCCGCGGGACCTACAGCTTCGCTGCCAGGTGGGGTTCGGGCTCCGAGGATGGACCTTTGGGAGCGAGCAGGAAGATGATGAGCCTGCAAATGTCTCCTACGTGGTGCACCGCTTCCCAGGGACGCTCCTCCGGGCAACGGGAGCGAGGGCAGGCTGCTAAAAACGTACCGGGCGGCCAGAAGCACCCATGAAAACCCAACGCTCCCCCTAAAACACTCCCACACCCCCAGGGACTCAGGCACCACGTCTGCATGTAGGATGAAGGAAGAGTGAGTTGGGACGGGGAAACCGCACCGTTTAGGACTTAAATCTGAACGCAGCAGAACAGCAGTGCTGTCAGAGGAGGAGCGCCGCGGCCCATCCTCCAAGGATGCTCTGTCCCCAGCCACATGGCGGGCCAGGGACATGCGGGGCGACAGACCGGAGAGACTCTACAGTCCCTTTCTCTAGCAATGAAAAACCTTGCAGCAAAGCGAGAGGGATGGAGAGCGCGGCTTGGTGTTGTTCTCGTGCTTTTTGTAGGGTACCGGCTGGAAGACCAGGAGGAAAACCCATCCGAAGCAGCAGGGTCAGGCAGCAAGGCAAGGGAAGGGCCTCTCCTGGCATCTCCCGTGGTGGTGTTCCCAGAAGTAGCTCTCCACGTGACACAGGTCCCCTTTGCTGGGGAAAAGACACAACTGGAAGACTCAAACCTGCCCCCGGGCAGCCCCAAGACACAGCTGAAGTCACCAGAGCCGCAAGCGGTTACATTTAAAACTCCCAACACGGGCGCTAACACAGCTCAGCCGCAGAGTCCTGCCCGAGGCACGGACGGCGAGCTCCAAGGCGGAGTGATGCAGAGCGGCCAGTGTCCTGGCTCCCACCCTATGTCTGCAGCAACGCTGCGGCGAGGATGGAAGAGGTGGCCGTCACCAGGCCTGGCTGCACCGAAATGTTAACATCCGCCCTCTGGAAGAGTATCCAAGTCTGAAACAGCTACGGCTGGTGCCTTCCCCTAAGTGAAATGTCTCCGCGAATCTCTTGGGGGGACCGGCGTGGAGAGGAACCGAGGGGCAGGCGAAGGGGGCAGGGAGACTTGTGCTGATGCAGAAAGGCGGGGGGGGCCAGGACCACGTGTCCGAGGTGGGAGGCAGTGTCCTGCAGCGCTGACCTCCGACCCAGAGACCTGGGCGCCCGCAGGCACCACGGAGCTACCAGCAGGGAAAAAGTCTCACAAAGGCCAAAGGCTCTCCAAGGATGATGCCCCGTGAGCCTGCTTCTCCGCTCACCCTCCAGAGTGACGTCTCTGGCCCAGCTGGTGCACAGCACCTGTAGACTCCTCTCGCCAGCAGAACGGCGACGCTTCATTAAACAGGGACCAGAAGTTTTAACAAGCCACAAGAAAATCCAGCACCTCTACTGTCCACGCCTGGAGGCAATGCTCTGTCCCGCCCCAAGGGGCTGCTCCTCAAAACCCACCTCGTGTGCGAGGAAGGTAGACCTCTGTGAGCCACGTGCCCCACGCGCGCACAGTGAGGCCTGGGGGGGTCTCTAGCGCCAGGAGCTCCAGGTCTATAGGTTTTCACCGGGCTGGTACTGGGGCTCTGTCGACGTGAAGTAGTCCTCGAGGAAGGCCTGCAGGTACTCGAAGGTGGGCCGCTCCTCTGGGTCCTTCCTCCAGCACTGGCACATGAGGTCATGCAGAGACTCAGGGCACTCCGGCGGACAAGGCATCCGGTAGCCCCGCTCCACTTGGTCAAGCACCTCCCGGTTGACCATCCCTGCCAGCCGAGAGGAGACACAGCACCAAGTGAGAGCAGGCCACATCCCTCAGCAGCACCTCTACCAGCAGGGACCACAAGAGCACGATGCTGGGGCAGTGAGCTGCAAGCCGTATGGAGAACCCCCATGGCTCACTTCGCATAGAGAGAAAGGGGACCCGCCACCCGAACACCGCTTGTCCTTGGTAGCAGACACCCCGTCACCTCATTGGGGGTCCGGAGCAGGACAGGGAGGGTGGCTGTGACACCACGGGCCCAGTGATGACAGCACATCTCCACAATCCCATCCCTTCACCCCAGCAGCGGCCTACCCCAGCAAGGCAGGACCACTGCTCCTGACCTACAGTCATCTTCCCACTTGGAAGATGACTTGCCCATCAACTTCTTTACTGGGAGGGTGACTGAGCACTGGAACAGGTTGCCCAGAGCGATTGTGGAGTCTCCATCCTTGGAGATATTCAGAAGCCATGTGGACAAGGTCCTGGGCAACATGCTCTAGGTGACCCTGCTAGAGGAGGGGGGTTAGACTAGATGATCTCCAGAGGTCCCTTCCAACCTCAGCCGTTCCATGATTCTGTATCAACATGGAGCCGAAAGCTGACTTTCCTACACCACGTGCTGCTTGCCATTCGCTGTTCTGAGGCTCACCTACCCCAGCACAGCATGGTGTGACCCGGGGACAGGGCAGCATGGGGAGTTCACCATCCAAGACTGCCCTCCCTGCCCAAATATCAAGAGACACATCCCTTCAATTCATTCCTTTGCTAAGATGGTTATGGGAGGCAATGTAACACTGTGGGGAGTGCTGCTCAGAGGGCAGCTGGGGTGAGGACACTGCTAAGGCGACAGCATTTCTGCTGGCAAGAGCCCGCTCTCACCTGGGTACGGCACTCTGCCCTTGGTGGTCAGCTCGGTCAAGAGGATGCCAAAGGACCAGACGTCCGACTTGATGGTGAACCTGCCGTACAAAGCCGCTTCAGGGGCCGTCCACTTGATGGGGAACTTTGCACCTGAATGGAGAGATGCCATGAGGGACTGCTCCCAGAAAGCTGCAGGGCCTGAGCCCGTTGCAAGCAGCTCTCGGAGCACATGGTGGCCTCGCTTCAGCGGCAAGCCAACGTGTACCTTGCCGGGCGGTGTACTCATTGTCCTCGATGAGGCGCGCCAAGCCAAAGTCGGCCACTTTGCACACCAGGTTCTCGCCTACGAGGATGTTGGCTGCACGGAGATCGCGGTGCACGTAGTTCATCCTCTCCACATAGGCCATGCCAGACGCGATCTGCAGCCACACGGAGCAGAGCATGAGAAGCAGCTACGGGAGCTGGCACACCCCGAGCACCTTGACACTCGCTGGGTGATGCCAGGGCCCTGGGGAGCAGCTGCCAGCACCCCGGAGGGAGGCCCTGCAGGGGAACAGCTCTGCCGCTGGACCAGACCCAGCCAACAGGACGTAGGAGCAAGAGTTTGCTCACGAGGAGCCACGCACACGCAGGCTCATGGTGACAGCTACACCAGCTGGCTAGGGACACCTGGCACTGATGAGACCCTTCCTTTTCCCGGGGACTGTGCAAAATGCTGGTGCCAGACCAGGGCCCAGCTGGAGCCACCGGTGTAGGGCTGTACTGGCAAGATCCACCCATGCCACGACCACAGCCAAAGCTGCTGGAGGAGGGGGCTTAGCACGGGGTGCTCGCATGGCTTTTCCAGGTGGGATTTCGTTTCCCTCCTGCCAAGCTGTGCCAGGATCCCAAGCACCCCGCGACCTGACAGCAGCTGGACCCACGTGACAGACACAACGGCCAAGCGAGCTGCTGGTGAGCGCCACCGGAGCAGGATGCTGAAGGACCAGGAGACCCGGGGAAGCCTAAACCCACCTGAGCTGCCATGTCCACGAGCTGGGCCAGCCGCAGGTACTTGCCCATCTCTCCCTTCAGGAAGTCCAGGAGGCTCCCTGCGAGGAAGACAATGGTGAGAGCCGGCTCAGCCACCCAGATGCTCTTGGCTCGGGAGCTCGGGGGATCAGCTCTGCCCAGGCAGCTCAGCTCTGCCCAGGCAGCTCCTGCTGCCCAGAGGCACTCACCTTTGCTCATGTACTCAGTGACAATGTAAATAGGCTCCTCCGAAACCACCGCGTAGAGCTGAACCAGCTTCTCATGGCGGAGCTTCTTCATGACCTGGGCTTCCTGCAGGAACGCCTCTGGAGACATGGTGCCGGGTTTCAGCGTCTTTATGGCCACTCTGGTGGTGCCGTTCCAGGTCCCTGAAGCACAAGGCCGAGGCCGCTCAGGAAACGCCTCTGTTTACGAGGCACAGGGCTGTGTTCCTGCTCCCCCCAGCACAGCAGAAGAGCCATCTGGAGATGGCCAGGGAGAGAGGACGCTGTGCTAATCCTGGGCCACTCCACGTCCTTGCAAACCCCCCTGATGGAGGAAGCTCCCAAGCAGAGGAAACACCTCCTGCAACCACCACCTCCTTCCTTCACCCCAAATCCCTGATCCAAGGGGCAAAGACACCATCCAGGCTTGCTGCTGGCCAGACTTCATAGGATCTCACTGAAAAGACCCTGTGTAGGCTGGGGAGATCCCAGGCCACTCTGCAAAGGAGGGCAAAAGCAGCCGCTCTGTTCATCTCCATCCCTCCTCGGCTCCACGTGGCTTCCCCGGGGCAAGGGCCGATGCCCACGGGCTCAGGTATGGGATTGCAGGAGTCCTTACCCATCCACACTTCTCCAAAGCAGCCTTGCCCCAGCTTCACCTCGAGCCGCAGAGACTCCCGGGGGATCTCCCACGCGTCCTTGGCCAGGCCTTGGGTCTGGGGCTTGGAGGTGGGGCAGACGTTGGTGAGGCGATGACACAAGCCATCGGCGTGCTCTAGGGCACGAGGGGAGAATTGCAGCAGGACACTCTGGCACACGACACCTTTACCCTGCCTCTTCCCAGCCAAACACCTCGGAGGATTATATCCAGACCCACTCCCCTCTTCCCTAAAATCCAAGCAGCTTTTCATCTGGGTCTCCTCCGCCGCGGGCTGGGGGCCCCCAGCTCGGCGCTCACTTCCCGACAGCCGCCTTCCTTGCGCTGACGGCTGCTCCCGCCTGCGTCCCCCCC